ACGCGAGATGGGCTTTCTGGCTAAAGCTTTTGCCGCACTCGGGACAAGAGAACTTTTCCCCCTCTATAGGAGGCGTTGGACGGGTGCGAGGAGACGAGCGTGCGGGAAAACGTCTCTTACGTTTAGCGGGAGACGGCGCTGCACTCGGAGGGACTGTAACGAGAACCGTGGTGATGGGGTTCTCATCTAAGGAATCGGATGAGAGGTCATCTTCTGTTTTAGCATACTTGGTGGTCACGGTGGGCTTCCCCACGTCGTACTTATTCAATTGTCCGTCTGCAGGAAATAAAAAGAAACACAAAAGAAGTGAAAAGCTCGGCAATGAAATAGCAGGGACTCATACGTAGGCGGCAGCGGGCTCCTTTAACCACCTCCCGTCCGCCGAACGGGAGCCTTTTAGATGCGGGTGGGCGCCCTAAAACGTCCTCTGCGCCCGCGCCGCCTGGCACGCACGCACGAGCGGGAAGCGGTCAACATTTGAAGCAGCCGGCGATGGCCGTGCGCATACAAGCGGGTCCGGCGTCTGTAGAGACGTCCGATGGTTTGTATTCGGTACCTTCGTGTGCCCCCCTCTCCTCCGCAGCCACGGGCCTGTGTGCTCCTTGCGGGCCCGGTCTTGTGGCTCTGTGCAGGGAGAACGGAGGGAGACCAGTACACCTATGTACAAAAACGGCGATCGCACTACACGTTAGGTATCGCCGCGTGTGCCAGAGTGACACCAATCATTCCAGTGCCAATATTCACAGATATCTATAAACTGATGTACGGGCCGTTAAAGCGTTGCGTATAGACAATTTGGTGCGCCGTGTTTTGGCGCTGGTTCACAGACGCAGACAATTTTTTACCTGGGCATGTTGGGTGTCTATTTACTCACCGTAACCTCGGCTTTTATATTTTACAAAATGGTTATTATATTGTTTAAGATATATAGTTTTGGGGGGCTTTAAGTAATCTTTAGGCCTACAATTTCCAACATATGGGCCAAAAATGCAATGATTATTTTATGAATACTTTCTGTATTTAGTGGTTATTCCTCACCTGTGCTGATCTCTATAGGAACTTCCTCCTCTTTAATTCTCACACGTCCTTCTTCCTCCTCCTCATCTTTGACGTCTCTCTGAGTGTCCCCGGGATCTGTGAATAAAGATGAGAGTGAAGCCCCCTGTACTGAGATGTATGAGAGACCCCAGAGAGTGTGTGTGGGAGGAGACTGGTCACGTCTCTTGGCTGGTAACACACAATGACATGATGTGAGGAGAGGCGGAGCCTAATAGAGGCTGATGGCTCCTGACTCCCCCCACTAGAAACATTCCGTCCCCCCGTTACTGTCTACTGACAGAGGAGGGGGGAGAAGAGGAGATTGTTGTAGTGACTGAACAAGGAGAATCTGGGACTCTTTTCTGGATTTAGTGTTTATTCCTCACCTGTGCTGATCTCTGGAGGGATGTCCTCATCCCTACACGGCTCATCACCCCAAACATACATATCTTCTTCTTCTTTCACTTCAACTTTAACAACAATGAGGCCCTGGATAAGACGGAATGCAGACTATTAATATGTAACTACTTTATGGAGAAGACATTTATCACCTTTAGTGAAGACCCTTAGTCCCATCTACCTGATCATCCTGAGGGGTCTCCTGATCCTCCTGAGGGATCTCCTGATGTTCCTGTGTGGAATCCCGGGAATACAGAGGACGGGCCTGAGGGATCTCCTGATGTTCCTGTGTGGAGTCCCGGGAATACAGAGGACAGGTCTGAGGGATCTCCTGATGTTCCTGTGTGGAATCCCGGGAATACAGAGGACGGGGACATCTCTCTGGGGTATTTCTGTTCCTGGATCCATCTGTAGGAAACACACACACTGACTGAATACATTGTTTCTATGTCTTTATATCAGAGGATGTGTGTATCTAGGGGGATCCTCAATACTCAAGAAATGAAAGTCTCCTCTTACCCGGTGATGTGAGGGGAGGCCGGTTCTCCATCATGACGTCCTTGTACAGATCTTTTTGTCTTTCACATCACATGCACTCATTTGTATTTGAACTTTAGCGGGTTTATACCCCGTTGTACTGCCTAAAATTAAAGTGAAAGTTTATCATGAAAATGTAACTATATGCAAAATAAATGTAAACCATCTTTAGATGTAACCAGATAAGAGCCCAGGAGCACCTCCCAGGCCTAGCCCAGGAGGTGTGGTACAGAAGAAAAAAAATAGCTAGTGTCGTCGCCTAGTTATGTTTCACACAGTGGGGTCCCAAACCCAAAATGTAACTCCACCACCCCAAGGGCACCACTCCCGGGGATGGAAGATGACACCGAAGGCTCTCTGACTTCCCAGCCCATGATCAAATGAGGTGGACCTGTTCAAATCAGGCGGGCCCTTGGAGATCGCAGTGCTAGGGAAGTATTCCCGACCCCCCACCTCTTCCGTAGGCGCTCTTTCTTATGCGGAAGGAAAATGGATGGAAGCTCCCTCCACTGCCGCCCAATCAGCTACGGCCTGAAACATTTTTTTTTTATGTTCTTCTGTGACCTAAAATCAGCCAACAATGAGCTAATGCCAGCTATCAGTAGACAGGGCAATGCCAGGCCATGCTTGACAAGGGCTTCACAACTGGCTCCGCCTCTCTAGGGCCACAGTCAGCTGTGCCCACCCCCTCCCTACAGGGAGCCAACAACTAGCTGCTGGGAGCATAGACTGTGTGCCGATCGGTCAGGGGTCATGTGATTGGCCAGCTCTCAGTCTTAGGTCCGGTGTTCTATGGAAAGCTCCAACTCATTGAGATCTCCAACTACCTCACTTCCGGTGCTCAGAAACACTGGAGCTCTGTACAGTTGCGGTTTCGCATGCGTTCGCATAGCGTTTTCAGAATACTCGTCGAGTTTGCCACCTGCTGAATATTGTTAAAATGCAGCTGTGCAGAGGCTCCAACAGTCTTTGCGCTTTGCAGTCTAACGCTGTCTGGTCGAAATCTCCAACTTCCAAGTACCCAGCAGTGAGGTGGTTGGAGATATCGACGAGTTGGAGCTTTCAATAGAACAGCTGCGTGGCACCGCTGCAACGCGCCACGCTTTAATTGGGCAAATGTGGTTTGTGCCAAGTCCGCGGGCATAAATAAAGAGGAATGACAAGCTTAGAATATATTTAAGATGGAATAAATGGGTCTATCATTTCAGGCTTCATCCCCTTCCAGCTGAAAGGCATACCTGGTACTTCCACATATGGAGAAGCATGTGACTCTGGCCATGTGACAGCACTGGGCCAATCAGGGCTGATCTAACAGGAAGTCCATAACACTGTGTAGGTTACCACTAGGCACCCAAATCTATTCCTCAACAATAGGTGTATTTCTATAGCGCCCTGACCATGAATTTTTGAAGTGACATAACACCCTCCCCATCCAGTCCACACAGGGTCCTGGGACCCCATTCTCTCTTCCTCCTCTCATAAGAAGACATTATTACCTCCTCCTCACTGGGCTCTCACTCTCCAGGCTCACAGTCTCCCAAGAAGATTACTATGGTAAGATTATCCCCGTCTTTCTTTTCCGGGCTACAACAAAATGGCCGCCGTCCCTCTGCCCCCAAGGACACTTCTTCCTGTGACATGACAGAACAGCGCCCTCTAGTGGTGGCACCGCTTCCAAACAACGGCTCTCTGTTACTATTGGGGCCTTTGGTAGATTGTCCAGACACAGGGCTGGGCGTCACTATGGCGACCAGGAAGTAACCGAGAGGCCGTGGAACGCACACAGTCTTAGCCAGAAGGCGGACGTGAAGAGTGTTTCCGGTGCAGAGGGAGCACAGTGATGATAGCCTGAGGCCTGAGCTAGAATAATAACGACATCTCAGTGTTGAATTCTCATTATTATTCTCTGTAGAGCTGCCAATAAGATTGTAGGAGTCACTGGCCTAGTACACATGATAATACCCCAAATTTCCCATAGGGAACATTTTAAACGCTTTTACAGCTCATCAGTTTAGTGCTAACAGTGATTGACAGCGCTAGAATTATTGCTTTCACTGCGACGTTTGCGGCGATATGTAACAAGTGTAGCGCAATTGTCATAGGCGCACCGACGCGTGTTTGCGTGTATGTGCGTGCACGTGGGGGACTTAAAAAAAATGTTGTAATTTTTTTTAATTGATGTTACTTACATTTTTATAACTTTTAAACACTTTATTTATACTAACCCTATTGCTATCACGTAGGGGGGCTAACACGCACCCTATGTAATAGCAGATAGCGTGTGACAGGTATCTGCATCAAAAATCAATAAGAGGAATCATCATTTCTACATATACGGTAAGAGGAGGGGCTTAAGGGAGCTTTCCTCGGCTATGAACACGGCCGCCCTGTCTGAGCTGGCAGCTGCAACACCAAAACTTACAAAGAAAGAAGGGCGGCCATACAATCAGGAAGCCGTGGGGCTGGTAATGACATGCTGCCCGGCTCCATGTTGTTGGATTGTGATTAGCCGGGAAACCGGCTTCACAGCCAATCAGCATCCAGCCGGCTTCCCCACCAATCAGGAAGCCGGGCGTCAAGTAATGACCCGCCTCCCTGATTGGCCGGGAAGCCAGCTCCATGCCAGGTTTCTAGTCAGTCAGCAAGGAAATCGGCAAGGAGCCAGCTTCCCGGCCAACCAGCGAGGAGCCGGCTTCCCGGCCAATCAGCATGCTGGAAGATTCATTACTCGCCGCCCGGCTTCCTGATTGCACAGGAAGCCCTCTCCTTTCCCCTACAGCACTGCCGGTCAGAGGAAATCTTCCTCTGACCAGAAGTTCTGGTATCGGGGAAGGTATCGGAGCAAGTATGAGTACTCACCCAAATATTCGGTATCTGCACCGTGACCAATACTAGTATCGGTATATCCCTAATGTATACGCACACACATACATAGCCAACACACAAATAAGACAATCCCAATCTTTATTGAACTTTGGCGCTGTGGTGATGAAAGAATAACCGGTCCGGCATCACTCGTTGGGGTTTCAATCAAAGTAGGTTGATGGCAAGTCATGCGAGTCCGCTGGTGATGGAGGAGAGGAGATCTGGAGACATGGATTCTCTCTTGAATGCACACCCTGATGCCTGGTCATGGCTTTTTTCCAGGAAAAACATCTCCCGCACTCTGAACATGAATACGGCTTCTCTCCGGTGTGAGTTCTTTTGTGTGAAATAAGATTTTGTACGGTGGAGAAACATCCCCCACATTCGGTGCAGGAAAACGGCTTCTCTCCGGTGTGACACCTTTGATGTCTAATGAGATAGTTTTTCTGAGGAAAAGACTTTCCGCATTCCTGGCATAAAAACGGCTTCTCTCCCGTGTGACGCCTCTGGTGTTTAATCAGAGTGTCTTTGTGAGGGAAACATTTCCCACACTCGGGGCAAGAAAACGGCTTTTCCCCCGTGTGACATCTCTGGTGTGAGATAAGGCTCCCCCTCTGAGGGAAGGACTTTCCGCATTCACAACAGGAAAACGGCTTTTCGGACATGTGAGTCTTCTCGTGATAGATCAGATGAGCTTTGGTCACAAAACATTTACTGCATTGCGAACAGGAATACGGCTTCTCTCCCGTGTGCACACGCTGATGCCTGACCAGGGCTCCTCTCCGGGGAAAACATCTCCCGCATTCCGAACACGAATAGGGCTTCACCCCTGTGTGAGCCGACTGGTGGGAATTAAGACTTTGTCTGCTGGAAAAACACTTCCCGCACTCAGTACAGGAATATGGCCGCTCCCCCGTGTGGCACCTCTGGTGTTTAATAAGACTATCCTTCTGAGGAAAACATTTCCAGCATTCGGGGCATTCAAACGGCTTTTCCCCCGTGTGAGATCTGAGGTGTAAATTAAGATGCCCCCTCTGCGCATAGGACTTCCCGCACTCAGAACAGGAAAATGGCTTTTCGGACACGTGAGTCTTCTCATGATGGATCAGGTGAGACGTGGTGGGAAAAGATTTCCCGCATTCTGAGCAGGAATATGGTTTATCTATGGCGTGCACATGTTGATGAGTGATCAGGGCTCCTTTCCTGGGAAAACATTTGCCACATTCGGAACATGTAAACGGCTTTAGTCCGGCGTGATTTCTCAGGTGCCTTAGTGCGCCCGATTTCTGGGTAAAGCATTTCCCGCATTTAGGACATGAGAATGGCTTCTCTCCGGTGTGCGTTCTCTCGTGATTAATAAGATGGTCCATGAGGGAAAAACACTTCCCACACTCCGAACATGAATACGGCTTCTCCCCCGAGTGAACTCTTTGGTGTCTTATAAGAGACCATTTGGAAGTGAAACTTTTCCCGCACGCGGAACACGAATACGGCTCCTTCCCTGCCTGAGACCTCTGGTGAGAAGCGAGATGGGCGTTCTGACATTGGCCGCGATCAGAAGCAGGGAATGTTGTTTGACGGGTGTTGGGATTGGACAGATCCGAAGAACACTCTCCATGAGTAAGAGAACTAGACGACCAATCTGCTCTGTGAGGTGCTGGACGGAGGTTCGGAGTCGTGGGGTTTCCTTCTGAAGAATCCGATGTGACCTCCTCATCTTTTTCACCGTCTGTCCGGATGAAGAGTTGTGCGTCTGCGCGAAATAAAAAGCAGGATGTCAGGAACCTCGGACTACTGCACGGGCCCGAGTTCGTGAGCGGACGCGCGCATAGTAAACGATTAGCGGTACATGCGCACAGACGCACTGCGGTACGTCAGGCGTGGCACACACCTATTGGCGCCAGTCAGCCTATGTAAACACTGAGCAGCAACTGGAAGATCGCCAGCTGTACCTGTATCTGTGTTCCTGCATCTGACTCCTGCATTGACCCAGCGAGTTCCTGGTGCCTGCCCTTTGACCCCGGCCTGTCTGACTACTCTCCTGCTTCCTCTGTTCCACTGACTACGCCTCTGCCTGCGATCCTGCACCTCCTTGTCTGGTCCGCCTGACTCTGCTCCCTGCTTCTCTGCTGCCATCAGGCCTACAGCTGCTCCTCTGGAACCGGAGGGTCCTGCATCCAGCTACCTGCATCATCCCTCATCGCTACCAGCGGGGCATTGGTGTCTCTCTCTGTCCTGTGCACTACCTGTGCCATCCTCAGGGGGGCTCTGACTAGAGTTACAAAAGGAGCCTCGCTCATCACTCAGGCCATACCAGGTACGTGACACAATGTTCAGATGTCAGAGCATGACGTGTAACCAAGTCTTCAGGGACAAGGATTCACAACTGCACAGGATCTACATCACCATCCTGATCATCCCTTCCAAAAACTGCCTGGAAATTGTTCTGCAGGACAACATACTCAGATATTATTTTCTGGATTTAGTGTTTATTCATCACCTGTGCTGATCTCTGGAGGGATTTCCTCCTCTTTAATCCTCAGATGTTCTTCTTCTTCCTCCTCCTCAGGTTTGATGTCCCTCTGAGTGTCTCTGGTGTCCCCGGGGTCTATGAATAAAGATGAGAGTGAAGCCCCCTGTACTGAGAACTCACAGACGACTCTTCTTCTTTCACTTCAGCTTTAATATTAATCAGGCTTTCATGCTTAAAATACAAAATAATATGCATATTACAAGAAACCACTAGGTGTTTGTGAAAGCCATTTATTATATTAGTTTAAACCTACCTGATCCTCCTGAGGGATCTGCTGATGTTCCTGTGTGGAATCCCGGGAATACAGAGGACGGGTCTGAGGGATCTCCTGATGTTCCTGTGTGGAATCCCGGGAATACAGAGGATGGGCCTGAGGGATCGCCTGATGTTCCTGTGAGGAATCCGGGGAATACAGAGGATGGGCCTGAGGGATCGCCTGATGTTCCTGTGAGGAATCCGGGGAATACAGAGGATGGGCCTGAGGGATCGCCTGATGTTCCTGTGAGGAATCCCGGGAATACAGAGGACGGGGACATCTCTCTGGGGTATTTCTGTTCCTGGATCCATCTGTAGGAAACACACACACTGACTGAATACATTGTCTCTATGTCTTTATATCAGAGGATGTGTGTATCTAGGGGGATCCTCAATACTCAAGGAATGAAGTCTCCTCTTACCCGGTGATGTGGGGGGCGGCCGGTTCTCCATCATGACGTCCTTGTAGAGGTCCTTGTGTCCTTCTGACTACTTCCACTTCTGCGTACGTGAACTTTTGGGTCGTTAATAAACCTAACATTGCCAAAAATCAATATAAAAAGCTTTTAAAATATATATTGAAAAAATCTCAACTGCCCAGTTTGGTGAACATTGGGTTCAATGTCACGCAGGGTTTTATCACGGAGGGACAGCTCCTTTAACAGACATTGCCATCAACACTGAAACTGAATACAACTACCTCCTGAGCTGGAGAATAACCAATCTGAATTAGGGGAAAGAAAACAATGTTCTTGAAGCCATGTTCCCATCTCTTGCATTGATGAGGGTCCCTGCCCTTGAATTTGAGTTGGGCAAGTACAGGCACCTACCCCCCTACTTAGTCTTAGGGAGGTATCTGTCTGCCGAAAATCCAGATTGCTTAAAAGGGTGAGTCCACCTTGGGCAGACCTTTTTCAGTAAAGGGACCATGCAGACAAGGGGCCCCAGTAGGTTTAAACAAACTGATCAGCATATTAAAACATGCAGATGCCATACCTGTAGGCCATTTTCTGTCCCTCCGAGGCCTGGCTGAAAGACTCCAATGTCCAACGGCTGTAACATCTATCGAAAGCTCCAACTCGTCGAAATCTCCAACTACCTCACGAGTATTCTGAAAACGCTATGCGCGCATGCGCACAGCAACTGTACACAGCTCCGGCCTTTCTGAGCACCGGAAGCTAGGTAGTTGGAGATCTCGATGAGTTGGAGCTTTCGATAGAACACCGGAAATTAGCCAGGATGGTGATGTAAACAAAGATGGGAGTAGTTCAACCAGGTTTCAGAGGCACAGAAAATGGCCTACAGGTACGGGGTCTACAGGATCGAGATTTTAAAGAGCTGATCAACCTGCTGGGGCCCTTCATTGTAAAAGGGGTGCCAAAGGTGGACATACCCTTTAAAAAAACAAACAAACACATTAGTAGCCGCAAACAAACATCTAGAGATGCGATGGATGGACGTACCTCTCCCATGGAAGACTGTGTGCCTGGCCTCCTCTTCTTCAGGATGGTATCGCGCTAAGAGGGGTCCATGCACTCCCCGAAATCTGTAAAGAGTACAGAAGGCGCACATCTGCCGAATCATTTTACACGCCATCGTATGGACAGCAGGTACAAATTCCCTATTGGAAGATTTACAGGAACACCCCACAAACTCAGAGCTTAAATTCGGATAGCATTGTTGTCTCTAAACTGTCCAACTCCAAATATCTACTGACTATATGGCAGCACGTGATCGCCCATTTGTTTGATCCCAATATGTCTCTGCTCCCATCCTATATGACACATCAGGTGCTGAGCAGCCGGGGAGCAGAGATCCCAGGGGATACACACAGCATTGTGGGAGTGATGGCTAGTAAACCTGGGTGAGTTGAAATGTCTCCCCCGCAGAGCGCACCATCTAATGCTCTACACATCAGAGGACCTGCAGGAAGATGATAATTTGTTGGGGTGACATGATGCCCCCATCCAGTCCACAGTGCTGGGACCCCCTTCTCTCATAATAAGAAGACATTATTACCTCCTCCTCGCTGGGCACACACTCTCAAGACTCACAGCCCTCCAGGAGGATTCTTATTCAAAAATGATTCTACTAACACTTCTTTCAGGCTACAACAAAATGGCCGCCGACCTTCCTTTCCCGAGGACACTTCCTGCTGCTGCACCAAGAACAATCGCCCTCTAGCGGTTGTTTTGGGTCTACGCTGGAACAAGCTGTCATGATAATAGTCCTCTGCAAGCCTTGCTTCCTGGTTGCCATGGGGATGCTCGCGCGTGCAGCTTCTTTGGCGGCCATTTTCTTGTAGCTCAAATGGGAGACCAAGAAAAACAAACAAAAGTCTTTGGTTTTCCAGCCACTGCCGATTTCTTTTAGGCTGGAGAGTGTGAGCCCAGTGAGGAGGAGGTAACGATGTCTTCTTATTATGAGAGGAGGAAGAGAGAAGGGGGTCACAGCACTCTCTGTGGCCTGGATGCGGGGGTCATGTCATCTCAACAAATCATCTTCCAGCAAGTCCTCTGAAGTGTAGAGCATTAGATGGGGAGCTCCTCTGCGCTGGGGGGGTGGAGCTGGGGCCATGACATTTAGCCCTGTATACACCATACTGTGAGGTTTACATTTTTATTAATTTGTTGCAGGGTAAGATTTTTAACACACCTTATATTTCAAATACACTGAATAGAAGGACACAAGGATCTGTAGAAGGACGTCATGATGGAGAACCGGCCGCCCCTCACATCACCGGGTAAGAGGAGACTTTCATTTCTTGAGTATTGAGGATCCCCCTAGATACACACATCCTCTGATATAAAGACATAGAAACAATGTATTCAGTCAGTGTGTGTGTTTCCTACAGATGGGTCCAGGAACAGAAATACCCCAGAGAGATGTCCCCGTCCTCTGTATTCCCGGGATTCCACACAGGAACATCAGGAGATCCCTCAGACCTGTCCTCTGTATTCCCTGGATTCCACACAAGAACATCAGGAGATCCCTCAGACCCGTCCTCTGTATTCCCTGGATTCCACACAAGAACATCAGGAGATCCCTCAGACCCGTCCTCTGTATTCTCTGGATTCCACACAGGGACATCAGGAGATCCCACAGACCTGTCCTCTGTATTCCCGGGATTCCACACAAGAACATCAGGAGATCCCTCAGACCCGTCCTCTGTATTCCCGGGATTCCACACAGGAACATCAGGAGATCCCTCAGGCCCGTCCTCTGTATTCTCTGGATTCCACACAGGGACATCAGGAGATCCCACAGACCTGTCCTCTGTATTCCCGGGATTCCACACAAGAACATCAGGAGATCCCTCAGACCCGTCCTCTGTATTCCCGGGACTCCACACGGGAACATCAGGAGATCCCTCAGGCCTGTCCTCTGTATTCCAAGGATTCCACACAGGAACATCATGTGATCCCTCAGACCCATCCTCTGTATTCCCGAGACTCTACACAGGAACATCAGGAGATCCCTCAGACCCATCCTCTGTATTCCCGGGACTGCACACAGGAACGTCATGAGATCCGCCAGGCCCGTCCTCTGTATTCCCGGGATTCCACACATGAACATCAGGAGATCCCTCAGGTCCTTCCTCTGTATTCCCGGGATTCCACACATGAATATCAGGAGATCCCTCAGGCCCGTCCTCTGTATTCCCGGGATTCCACACATGAACATCAGGAGATCCGTCAGGCCCGTCCTCTGTATTCCCGGGATTCCACACAGGAACATCATGAGATCCCTCAGGCCTGTCCTCTTTATTCCCGGGAGATCCCTCAGGCCCGTCCTCTGTATTCTTGGGACTCCACACAGGAACGTCATGAGATCCGTCAGGCCCGTCCTCTGTTTTCCCAGGATTCCACACAGGAACATCAAGAGATCCCTCAGGCCCGTCCTCTGTATTCCCGGGATTCCACACAGGAACATCAGGAGATCCCTCAGGAGAATCAAGTAATAATAATATTTCTATAGTTCTTTTCTTCCTGGTGACTCACAGGTAGATGGAACATAGAATCTCAATTAAAACTAGTAAATGTCCTAAATTAGTGACATATACAATAGCCTGTATTGTGTCTCATGCAGGGTGAAGGCCTGATTGTCGTTAAAGTTGAAGTGAAAGATGAAGAAAAGCCGTATGTGAGGGGTGATGAGTCGTGTAAGGAGGAGGAGGAACGTTCTCCAGAGATCAGCCCAGGTGAGGAATAAACACTAAATCCAGAGAAGAGTGCCAGATTCTCCTTGTTCAGTCACTACAACAATCTCTTCTTCTCCCCTGTCAGTAGACAGTAATGGGGGGACGGAATGTTTCTAGTGGGGGGAGTCAGGAGCCATCAGCCTCTATTAGACTCCGACTCTCCTCCTCACATCATGTCATTGTGTGTTACCAGCCAAGAGACGTGACCAGTCTCCCCCCACACACACTCTCTGGGGTCTCTAATACATCTCAGTACAGAGGGCTTCACTCTCATCTTTATTCACAGATCCCGGAGACTCCAGAGACACTCAGAGAGACGTCAAAGCTGAGGAGGAAGAAGGACATGTGAGGATTAAAGTGGAAGAAGTTCCTCCAGAGATCAGCACAGGTGAGTAATAAATCCAGACACGAGTCCCAGATTCTCCTTGTTCAGTCTCTACAACAATCTCTTCCTCTTGACAGCTGACAGTAATGCGGGTACATGACCTTTATTCACAGATTCCAGAGACAGCAGAAAGTCTCAGAGAAAAGTCAAGCCTGAGGAAGGACAACATGTGAAGATCAAAGAAGAGGAAACGTCTATAGAGACGGGCACAGGTGAGAAATAAGTTCCATGGACATTACACATCATGGAGGTCATCTATGTTCAGATGTGCAGATTGTGTAAAATTGGAAGATCTCAGGGTGGTTTAGGGCCCCTCATGGATCTCGGCCAATGTGGCCCTCGGCAGTCTCAGAGCTTTTTGATATCTACACAAGGGAGGCTTTGACATGTAAATAACATGCATACAATAAAAGCATGCATGATCTTATGGGGAGACTTTTGTGGAAACGAATGGTCTGACCGCACGGTCTCTGTATAGGCAAAACAAACATGTATGTTAGGTTTGGATACAGTGTGGAAGGGTTAGACCCTTTGTCAGTTTTTTTATTACTGTCTTTTGTCCCTGCAGGAAAGTTTTACCCCTCTATTTGTCCCGGTGACCATTGTCCGTGTGACAAGGAGGAGACATCCAGAATTTTACAGCTTTCACAGAGCAGGAAGTGAGGTGGGATCATCCAATGGGGACAAATATTCAATTGACAACTGTATAGGACGGGAAACTCCCCTTATTTTGGTGAGACTCCCTCTCATTTCCTGTTGTGTCTCTGGGACGGGAAGTGAAGGGAAATCTCCTCAACGAGGCACAGAGGAAAATAAAACGATGAGGGCTTTCACTAGGGATGTACCGATACCGATACTAGTATTGGTGCTGATTCTGAGTATTTGGGCGAGTACTGGTACTTGGCCAAATGCTCCCGATACTTATACCGAAACTGAAATTTCCAGTATCAGGAAGCCGGGGCAACCACCCAGCTTCCTGATTGGCCTTTGAGCCGGCTCCATACTCACCAGGGAGTATGGAGCTGGCTTCCTGGCCAATCAAGGAGCATGGAGCCAGCTTCCCTGCAAATCAGGAAGCCAAGGGGCGGGTAATAACTCGCCCCCCAACTTCATGATTGGCCAGGAAGCCCGCTCTATGCTCCCTCATGACCAAGGAGCATAGAGCTGGCTTCCCGGCCAATCAAGGAGCATGGAGCCAGCTTCCCTGCCAATCAGGAAACCGGGCGGCATGTAATGACTAGCCCCCTTGCTTCCTGACTGGTCAGGCAACTGGTCAATCAGGAAGCCTGATTTAGGAAGATAGGGGAAGGGAATCAGGAAGCTGGGCAGCATATAATGACTAGCCACCCAGCTTCCTGATTGGTCAGGCAGCTGTTCAATCAGGAAGCCAGGCGGAGAGTCATAACCTGCCCCCCGGCTTCCTGATTGGCCAGAAAGCCGGCTCCATGCTTCCTGGACACCTGGAGATGAGGGAGAATGGAAACGGCTTCCCCCACGCCCCCTGGCTTGCTTGATGGGACTTCCAGTAACGGCATTCGGTATCGGCGAGGACCGAAAAAGAAAATATCGGTACTCGATACTGTAAAAACCAGTATCGTTGCATCCCTAGTTTTAAATCTTCCCCACCCATAGTAAAAGTTTTGGGTGGAGAGACACTTTAAGTCCAAATGACGAAATGAAACGGTTGCGTTACACTTTAACAACCATAATCGGTGGCGGTATGTGACCATTAAGAGGAAAACCAGTTTGGGACGTCAGACCCCAAATTTGACTATTGCTGAATTCTTTAAACATTTCTAAACTTCTTCACTTCATTTCTCCCAGACGGACAGCGCGGCACGACCAATCCAAAGAGGCGTCCTGATCTCTCGTCCCGTGACACCAAAGACGATGAGATCACATCCAACTCTTCTGATGATGATGACTCCATTACCCCCAATCACCGGCCAGTACTTCGGAGTTCATACTTGCCGTCACATGGGGGGCGTCACGTTGATCATTCGCCTGTCACTCATCCTACAGATCATAGAGGGGGTGAGATGTCCCCATGGTCAGAGTCTGGTGAGACATCCGAATTCTCCTCCAACCAGGGGGCTCGCTTGACCCAGAACACTTATTCCTTTCCCCAGGACATGGGACAATCGAGGAACAGCACCGAAAATGTTATAGAGCTTCCAAGGACTCACTCGGCGGACAAACCGCCATACTTCTGCGCGGACTGCGGAAAGTGTTTCACCAGCAAGACCTGCCTGGCCTACCACGAGCGGACGCACAACGGAGAGAAGCCATTCTTCTGTCCTGAATGCGGCAGATGTTTCACTCAGAAAGGACATCTTATGTCTCACCAGCAGACTCACACCGGAGAGAAGCCATTTTCCTGTTCCGAATGCGGCAGATCCTTCACTCAAAGGTCGAATCTTCTGAAGCACCACAGAACTCACACGGGGGTGAAGCCGTATCCGTGCCCCGAATGCGGCAAATGTTTCAACAAGAGAGGCAACCTCACGGCCCACCAGAGGACTCACTTGGGCGACAAACCGTATTCATGTTCGGAGTGTAGAAAGTGTTTCACCAAAAAATCCTATCTGATATATCATCACTATAAGAGCCACACGGGCGACCAGCCGTTTTCGTGTTCAGAATGCGGGAAAGGTTTCACCCAAAAGGAAGACCTGACTTCGCACCAGAGGACGCACACGGAGGAGAAGCCGTATTCCTGTTTGGAATGCGGGAAGGGCTTTACCCGGAAATCGACTCTGGGTTTGCACAAGAGGGTCCACACGGGCGAGAAGCCCTATCCGTGTTCCGAATGCGGGAAGGCGTTTGCAAAGAAAGCCTCCCTCGTGTCACATCTCAGTTCCCACCAGAAGCCAGACGTTGCCATCTCTGGTGGTGGCAGTTGAGAACATTCTTGCTCAAGTACTTGAAAATCAGGCTTTGCGGCCTTCTTGCCTTTCTGGAAGATGCATTTTCTTTGGTGAAGGACCTAAGATGAAGGTTGTGGGTCCTAGTATCCTTACCTCCTGAGCAAATGCCCACAGGGGTAGCTGCAAGCACCTGCTCAGAGTTTGACGACTGAGGTCTGGACTCATGTTGGTGTGTCTACTCGGTACTCGTACAACCGTAACCAAACATTGATACATTGTAGCTCGCTGTGGAGGTCAAAGCCGCTAATTCTATGGTATCCTGCGTGTATTTTTATATACAGGAACATGCAAGGGCATGTGCAGGTGTATTGGATAGCATGTGCACCACTACCAGCTGGGGTTCCTGTTGGCAGCTTCTACGTGGCTACTAGTCCTTCAGTGGCAAAGTGGCCATTGGGGGTAAGGAACAGTACCCAGCAAGGGGCATGCTATCCAACACACCAGCAAGCGTTGGATAGCATTGGACTCCCTAATGCTCCCATGCCTTCCCCGATACCAGAACTTCCGGTCAGAGGGAGATTTCCTCTGACCGGCAGGGCCGCGAGGGAACATGGAGCCGGCTTCACGGGCAATTGGGAAGCTGGCCGCTGGGTAATGACTCGCTGCCTGGCTTCCTGATTAGCCAGGAAGCCGGCTCCATGCTGTTTGGCTGGCTCCATGCTGATTGGCTGGGAAGCTGGCTTCCCGGCCAATCAGCATCTTC